GGGGAGGGTGGCGGGGAGGGTGGCGGCCGCCGGTCCATCCAACGCCGCCCAGTGCGCCGTGAGGAGAGTGGCAGTGGCAGTGCTGAGCCTCACGTCTCAGATTTATACCCACACTTCACATGACATTTTTACTCCAAAAAGTTGTTATTGATGGCCGGGAGCTTCATCCCTCTTCATCGTGCGGCGCCTCTCTCTTGCCCTGCTCCTCTCCCCCTCTCTCACTCTCCACGCGGCTCTCCCTCTCTCTCGCTCCCACTCCTTTGCTCCCGGGCTGGCGAAAGTGTGCGCGTCCATCAACCCACTGGACGGGACGCGGTCCGGCAGTCCGGCGCGGTGCGGCGCAGCAGGAGGGAAGGGAAAATGAAATCGCCAAACATTCAACTTGCTTCGATCTTGTTCTCCCTCGTCGCTGCCACCGAAGATTTCGCACATGCATGCCCCTTTTTATTGTTCACAAGTAACCACTTATTCACATTTTGTAACCATCGCGCTCGCAACGCGCCTGGTGAAGAGTGGAGGGCTGCAGTAACGTCCGGAACGGAGAGGGGACCATGAACAGGACCAGGACTGCGCCAGTCCGCTCCGCCCCGTCAGGGCGGCAGTAGAGAGACTCATAGGGAGAGAGCCGTCAACTCGGGGCCCGGAATGCTGCGCGCTGATTGGGTCGGCGCTGGGCGCCTCGGAGGTGGACGCTGATTGGTCGGAGAAGTGGCTTCGGCCGGAGGGGAGGGGGTAGACGATTCGGTGCCTTCTCTTACTAGCATCTTGATCCCTGCGAGTGCGAGCGTCGTCTGTAGCCTGGTCGCTGTCTTCAACGTGCTTACAAACCCGGCGTCTGTTTATTGTTTTTGATTGTGTAAATTTTACATGCTTCATTTAAGTTTAGGTAAGGAACGAAATGCTTATTTCGGATAATGGACCGGTTGTTACAAGATTTTATTTCTCTGTGCTCATTATCTGCTAGTGATAAAATCACATGTTTCATTTTGCAGGTTAAGTTGCCATGGCTCGAGGGTGTTGCATGCCTGGTTGTTCCAACAATAACTCTAAGGGTTTTTCACTTTTTGGATTTCCGAGCTGCCCGGAAAAAAGAGCAGAGTGGACCGCATTTGTTGGGCTACCGAATTGGACACCAAAAAATGAGAGAATATGTGAGGTAAGTGCTTGTTGTGGTGAACCCTACTGAAGTTCATAGTTGTTTGCTGTTTTTAATATGTTATTTTTAATACTATTCTTTATTTTCAGGCGCACTTCTTGTGCACTGATTTTGTGGATATGGACAAGAAAAAGCTACTGAAGAAAGAAGCTGTCCCTAGTGTCCGGTGCAACAACCAGGAATGCCTCAGTGACATTGCAGTGGACCGTCCAGCTCAGGGTGTTGTTGTGGTGACTCCGTCACCATCAGCTGTGCACCATGCAGCCTCTTGCTGCATCTCGGTAACTGAAAGCCTTCGACATGCCACTCCAGTAAGCAGGTCTGGGCCAAAGATTGAGAAGAGATGCATGCAACTCAGAAAGGAAAATATTCAGCTGCACACTAGCGTGATTAATCTCAAGAACCAAATTAATTCTGCATCACAGATGGTAGTGAAAAATCAGCGCCGTGTTTTAAGTCTCAACCAGAGCCTTAATAAACAGCAAGATTTGTTAAACAAGCATTTCGGACAAGACCAGATGAAAGCAGCAGAGACTGGTAATAGCAGGGGGAGAGAGTGGACTTTACCAAGTATACAGAAAGCATTAGATGTAAGGTTGGCTGGTGGGCCTAGTGGATTGCAGGCAGCAAATGATTCCGTATTTCCTCTGCCTACCAACCGAACACTCCAGAGAAGGCTGCAGCCTATTAAGTTCCAACCTGGGCTACTCTATGAGTTCCTCAATCCCTTTGCTGAGAAAGTAGCATCCTCATTTACTTCGGCACAGAAGGACTGTGCTCTGCACTTTGATGAGATGGCTACAAAATCTCAATTATGTTTCGATTTAGGCACTGGCAGATACTTTGGCAATACTACTTTACCGGGGGTAAAAGGGCTCGCAACAAAACTGGAGGTGTGGACGTTTGGTGGCATTCAAACCAAATGGAAATTGAATGCAGCGTACCACTTGACACCCAGCCGTGCATGTAGTGATGTTAGAGCTAATGTTGTGCTGGAACTTCTTGATTACGCTGAGAATGCAGGTTTAAACTGTTTAGCCCTGGTTTGTGACATGGGTAATAGAGGGCTCCTTGCTGAATTAGGATTTGATACTACTAAAGATGGGCAGAAATATGTTATCCCCCACCCTTTTAATGGCAACAAAAATTTATATCTAGTGCCAGATGTGGTTCATATTTTTAAGTCGTTAAAGGAGATGCTTCAAAATAATGAGGTGGCTATGCTCTCTGAAGTAATTTATAAGAAATATTCCCTCCCTTCTGGAGCAGTGAGATTCCAGCATATAGAGTGGCTTATTCACTTCCAGGAGGACATGGGTGTGAAGTTTGCTCCCCGGCTTTCAAAAAAGGATATAAAACAAAATTTTTTCAGTAAAATGAACACTTCTGCAGCTTGCCATATATTTGACCATAAAACAGGTAAAGCAATTGAATTTCTAGCAGAAGAGGGTGTGTTTGAGGAGGACTCAAAAACAACTGCGTGGTTTATTGAACTAATGAACAAATGGTTCACCATTCTCACATCAAGGACTCCCTTACATGCTCTCAGCTTTAAAAATATGGACAAGTACAATGAGGCTATCTCTATGTTGGGTCAAGTTGTAGAAGTTTTCACACACTTATCTGTTGGTGATGCATGGAAACCGTGCCAGACTCACGTAATTATGGCAACTGAGGCGCTCCTGTCCATACAAGACTATTTGTTACAAGAACAGGGGTATGATTTTGTGTTTATGGGTCGTTTCACTAATGATATATCTGAGAACATTTTCTCAGATGTCAGGAAGACTCGACCCACACCCACTTCTCTCCAAGCTAAATATCAGCTTAGACTGAACACGTTAAGTCAGTGTTCCAGGAAGGTCCTCGGGAGCCAATATGGTGATGATGACAGACAGAACCTTCTTACAATAGATGACATTTTAGAGTATTTAAAAAGAAATGGGCCGCAAACTCCAAAAGAATCACACCCATGTCCGGAAAACGATGAAGTTGTATTGCCATGGGACTCTGAAATTGATCCTAAAATTGCAGAGTACAAATTCCAACACCTTATTGTATATAGAATGAGTGGGTATCTGCTCTTTAATATGAGAAAACTTAACCAGTTAAAGTGTGATAAATGCTATGAAGAACTTCAAAAAATAGATAAGGAAAACAATGTGAGAAAGTGGACTGAAAAAACAAATTATGTAGAAGATGCTCAAGTTGAAGTGTGTCCTGCTTTATTTAAGTTGCTTCAAGCAATAGATTATAACATTAATCAGTGGAAGGATTTTTTAACAGCAGCAGAAGATGCACTAGTTCTTGTAAACAGATCAATTAGAGAGGCAGTAATAGCTCATGACATTCCCACATGTGAAGAATGTCCAAATTTAAAGGAGGCTATTGTCAGTAGGTTTGTAAGACTGTGCTTAAAAGTGTTAGAAAAAAAAATGATGCAGACAGAACCCCAAGATGCTGGTTACCAGCTGTCAAGCAAAAGTATGGGATATCGTTATTGGGCTGAGCGCTACATGAATGGCCCGAGGAAGACTGGTAATGCAGGTGCCAAAAAATAGTAGCTGTGATATTTTTATTGCCACCCCAATCATGTTTTTTGTTAATATATTTTAAATATTTAATGTAGAGGGTATGTTGTAGTAGGCTACTTTGTTATAAGCTATGATAGATTGAAAAGACTGCAAACATTTAATAGTAACCTGTGATATTTTTATAACTTGACTGATTTGTTACCAAACTATTTTTTTAATTTTAAGTTTCAAAGCTTTCACCCAATTTCTGCCTAAAATATTTTGTAATAAGCCTCCAAACTAATTTTGTTATGTCACGTTTGTTGTGATTAAAAATTAAAACATGAAGTTTATCAAGAGATATTTCCTTTATTGATCCATGGGGACAGCATAAACAAAGTGCAAAATCAGTTGTACAGTAATCTTGAAGAAACAATCTAGTACATCATCGTATTCTGTCATCAGAACAATTTTAAATAATGAATACATATAAAGTATGAACCACACTCCACATTCCATGTTTCATGAGGTCACAATAACAAACAGGAATAGCTCGCAACACACACACACTGCAGTGATAAAGTAATGGGCCAAATTAATTTTAAAGTTAAAAACCGCAATTCACATTACATGTATCATGAGGTCACAATAACAAACAGGAATAGCTCGCAACACACACAATAAAGTTATAGGCAAAATTTATTTTAAAGTTGACAACCGCAATTCACATTACATGTTTCATGAGGCCAAATATAAATAAAATAGCACAGAAGAACAGAAACCACTCACAAACACTCACTCATAGCACTTACTTGTATTCTTTTGTTTACCCAAACTATCACACAAATAAACCAAATTCCACTTTACAAGCTTCATATGGTGTTTAAAAAAACATAGCGGGCAAACACACACTCACTGCACACACAGCCACTCGAAGAAACACGAATACTCTCACTGAACATATTCAACATGCAAACCAAGTTTAACTTTAAAAGTTCCACAAAGCAATAAACAATTGAATAGACCACATACACACCAGATTCTTTACTTCTAATGTATTCACTATGTAAACAACGTTCCCTTCTACTAGCTTCACATGTATCCAGAAGAAAATTATAACTTCCCAACACTCCCAGCTGCACTTGAATCAGTTTCTTCACTCCAGTTGTATCCAAAACAGAAACTTTCATTCCACATTAAATGCTTCATGAAGTCAAACACATATTGAATAGCTCACAACCACATACACACTGAGCTTTATTATAACTGTTCACATCTAGAGATCTTCTTCAGCAACTGCACATTCGAGATCAAATATTTCTGATTCCTGCCAGTACAAAAACTGGTCAAGTGCTGTGAGCTCAGCCTCCAGAATTTCTTTTTGCATTTTTAACTCACTGTTTTCTTCCTGTGACTCTGTTTCCACTCTCTGCAGTATCTCCCCCCTCTTTTCAAGCACTGTTTTCTTATTAACCTTCCGAAGCTTTAAAGGTGGGGGAACGCTGATCTTGTTTAGGCCTCTACATGTGTTAATCACTCTGCGAGGAGATGGACTTGAGACAGCTGGCTTTAAAAGAGTTGGGTCACTCAAAACCAAGCCACTTTCCTTGTTGTGCTCCTGCTCCTAGAAAGGGAGAAAAATATGGTTAATCTATCTGTTATAGCCACAATAAACAAGCTATGCTCTAGGCTAGAGGTGAGGTTAAGTTAGGCTACTTGGATTACCTTGCATTTTGATTCGAGCAGCCTCGATAACCTTCCTTGGCCGTTGCCTGCAATGCGCTTCACAATCAAATTTCGATCCTTTCTAGACCGGGGCAAATAATTAACATTCTTGAAGGAATTTGAGCATTTTGACAGAGATCGTTTCTGAGGCATTTTGCTTGCCGGCCCAAAGGTACCTGTGAATTCGAACAATAGAGCATATTTGCATTCTAAAAACGACTAAGTAACAAACCAGGACGATAAAAATAATCTAGTTTAAGAGTACACTCACCTCAGCTTTTGCTTTTCCACAAAAATGAGTTTCTTACCGGTCGTCTCCACATTTACGCGACAACCTCAACCCAACTGACGCGCACCTCCTAGGCTTCTTCAACACAGAGACGCGACTCCCCCCTCCACCTCCCTTGAGGCGCACCGAACCGGCCAATCAGCGAGCCCAGCGCTTGCCAGCGCCGACCCAATCAGCGCGCAGCATTCCGGGCCCCGAGTTGACGGCTCTCTCCCTATGAGTCTCTCTAGGCGGCAGGTGAGGCTCGGGGGACCCGCCCGACGAAACGAGACGCTCACGCCAAACACAATCTGCAGCACCGCGTCGTGTGATAGCGCGACACTGAGTACCCCGCGACTGGTTGTGCGACGCAGGGCCTCAGACAATAAGTGGCACGACGTGTCACGCACAAACCTGCACACACACAAACACACACACACACACAGACACACACACACAGACACACACACACAGACACACACACACAGACACACACACACAGACACACACACAGACACACACACACAGTTAGGCCCTTGGTGTGCGCCGCGCCAGACCCGGGATCACACAGCGCCAGGGCCCCGCCAAGCAAGCCCTGCCAGGACCCGCCAGGATCAGCTAGGACCCGCCAGGCTCCAGCAGCAGCAGCGCGGCAGCAGCAAATGTCGGTGTCACTCCAGGCTGTCAGGACCGTCACGCCGGGTGACGAGTCTCGTCACACGAGTCGCTCCAGTCTTGGGGGGTAATTACCAAACTTTGTTGCCGTTTTCGTTGCGGGTCCCCCCGTCGCGCGGCCGCCGCCCGCCCCGCCCCACACCTCGCCTCCCCCTTCACGCTCGCCCACTCGCTCACAAAACTCTTCCTCGCCGCCGGTCCGTCCCGCAGTCCGCCGTCCGTCTGTCGCTCGGTCAGCCGTCGTGTCCAGAGAGAAGGGTCACAGTCGCGGTGGACGTGCCCCGTCCGGCCCCGGCCACCAGACTCCAAACGGCCACCACTGCGGTTCAAATATCCTTATTTCAGCTTGGGCCGCTGTTGCACCCGAGTAGTACGCACACTATCAGCGCGCCCCCGCGACCCCCCGCTACAGGCGCCAGGCGCCGGCCCCGCGGTGAGCAGGCGGTGACTCTCGGCAGACAGCCGGCTGTCACGTGCTTTCATCGCTCTCGTCGCGGCCAAACTTTGCAGCAGCACGTCACGGAGTGCCCTACCCTGTCGTCGTCTGCCCCTGCCAGGACCCCCCCCCCCCCCCAACTGCCACAACCCTATCCCCCCCGCCGCGACCTTAAAATCAGGAACCTGCGGAAACTGTTCGATTGACGTCGACAGGCCTGCTTCAGGATTGTGTCAACCTCAATCAGGCCGAGTGGACAGCCTCTCTCTCTCTCTCTCTCTCTCTCTCTCTCTCTCTCTCTCTCTCATCATCTAGTAACGTCAGGCGGCCGTCGCATTCGCCAGCCAGACCGGTGCAGAATTATTACACAGCGCGTCATTCCAAATGCATCCACTCCGAGCCGCGCCGCCGAGCAGCGGCAGCAGCAGAGCCTGCGCGCCATCATGGGAGAGCCTTTGCCAAGTCCGGCCGTGCAGTCCTCGCTTTGGAAACACACGCCGCTGTACGGCGGACGGACGGCGGCGTCAGCGATCATGAGTTATTACAGAGTAGTGTCATCGCCAGCGGGCCGGGCGCGCGGCCGTACATGACAGGGGAAGAAACTTCGTGACGCGGCGTCAGTGCGCCGTCATGTGTCCCGCTGCCCTGCAGGAGGGTCGTCTACGGCGGCGGGGTTTTCCTGTTGGGTCCTCCAGGGGTCCTGCAGAAGGGGTCGCGTATGGCTCGGCGGGTTCCTGACGGGTCGTCTACTCGGGGGTTCTCGGGTTCCCCTAAAAGTAAAGGTTTTCGTGGTCGTGTAGCGGCCTCCTTCCCAAAGGACGGTCGAGTACTCGAGCTGAAAGACTTTAGAGGGTAAGGTATAGGGAGAATTTGAATTATCAGGCTCGAGTTAAAACTTACTTTACGAAACCTCGTAGCAGGTTAAAAAGTAAAGGGGAAGCGAGGGGCGGGGCGAGCGGCACGTTTTTCTCCTTCGGGTAAGACAGTCTTGGGGACTGTCTAAAAATTGACGGGAAAAATTAACAAAGAGATACGCAGAAATATTTACTCAAAATAAAAATGTGCGAAGCGTACAACGCTCCCGCTCGCAAATTGTTTCAAAATTGTAAAAGCAGCCCACAAACGGTCGCCATCACCGCCAAGCTCAGACGCGGGCTCGGGGGTCACCCTTTGCATGTTAAGGAAACACAATCATGGCAACGACACAAAAATTAATTTCAAGCCCTGGCGGGTCCCTGGCGGGGTCGTGTGTGCGGCTGACAGTGGAGGGTGTGCGGCAGGACACGGGCCGCCACTCATCCCTCCGTCACAAGGCCATCGAAGCGCGAGCGAGCTGCACCGACCTCAGGGCTACCCCCGCGGCCATCCCTTAGACTCGACTCTCGGCCCCAAGCTGGGCCTCGTCGGGGTGAAAGGGGAAGAGCAAGCTCTTGAAAAGCGTTGTGTCGTAGGATTACATCTACATCGAGAGAAATCTGTTTGAGCCTCGTACAAAAAAACAACAAAAAAAACATATCGTATATCGTATATCGTCGTGCAACCGCGTAATAATTGGCGATGAAACATGCGACATCAACATCTTACATATTCGAAAATTATGCAAGTTTGTGTACAGAAGATTCACAAAAATTCATCACAGCATATTAAAGCTCAGACGATTTTTTTCCGCACAGCCAGCGACGTGGTTTCCAATGTGGCTCCAGTGTGACGACTCGGGCCGGAGAGTGACGCGTCCCTCGCGTCCTCCGTGGCGCCGCGCCGCTCCGCGCCGGGTACCAACAGATTGTGTTACAGGTAACGTAAACCACGCTCTGTCAGCCCGCAACACGACGCAAACAAGAAAGGCTGCAACGGTATGTCAGCCAAAGCCTCCCCTGCTCCCGCCCCCCTACCGAGAGAGTCTCTACGGCAGCATCGTCGTTTAAAAAAAAAGGCCGCGCGAAGGGACGCGAACGCGAATCCGCAAATGCCGCGTCTGATTCGTCGCTTTAGACTCGCGTTGGGCTCTGGCGGCGCGCGCTGGCGCCTCGGCTGTGCCCTGCCCCGCGCCATGTTCGCTGCGAACACCTTAGGGGCCTTTGTTGTGGGCTCATGAGAGTCGGAGCAGCATCGGCCGGGCGAGGGCCGGGGCTATGGCGTCGAACTGGCCAAGATATACGGCACCTCGGCGCAAATTGGAATCCTAAGGCCGTACGGAACGGTGTCGTTCCAACAATGCAACATGCGGGGGGTTGGGGGGG